TCTTGTGGAGTTGTTGCTCGAACAATTCCAACGTGAACATATCATAAAAGGCAAAATGAGGGGAGATTCTTGGGTTGACGCTGTCGAAGCATTATTCAGGCTATTAGACACCACTTATACTAAACCAATGGTTATGACTGGCTTCAAAAATATGAAAGTAGATTTTGGAGCGGTGTATCAATCATCTAACTGCAGTGGCTGGGGTTGGGTTGAAGATATGCACCTACCAATAACAACTAATGAAATATGGAAATAAACTATAAAGGTGAGATATCATATCAGTTGCACAATTGAAATTAATCAAATTTATAGTAAGTGTTTTGAAAAAAAAATTTGTAGGTTGACACAAAGTTGAAACTCTATCGGATGAATATTTTTCATCGGTATGATATTTTCTAAAGAATTTGTTCTGAAAATATTGCAATCGGTGTTGGAGTCATTAGTTCCAAACCCGACTCCTCTCTGGAGGAGATGAAAGAAGTGAAAGTTATTAGGCCGGATAATAAATTTATGGCCATAAATGGAGTAAGCTACATAAATGAATTGCATGTAACAGACTCAGAACCATACTTTCAATTAGACACGATGTCAGCATGCGAGAAGTATTCGATCAATCGAGCGGTACCAAACAATCAAACCCGAGAGTCCATCTTAACAAACAACCTACTAAAAGATGATGAGATATACCGAACCTGAAAGTGTTGCTTCATACAGTTAACAAAAACGCAGAACAACTTCAACAACGGTATGAGCGTCACTCTCCATTCACCACCATTGAATGTTTGGCCAAGCGTCACGACATTCTTTTTCTTTTGACTAGTTCTCATGTTTTATGAACTTTAACCTACCATGTTTAGTTGTTATAGTCCAAATCTTTTTAGCACACTTCCAACGGGATTCAGAAATAGTAAGAAGAAAACACAACCATAGGAATTCATTTTTTAATATAATTTGTCTTAGATAAGTTGCATCAAAGCACAATTGGATTTCATTTTTTTATGTTGATTAACTACAGTTGTAGCTATGCAAAAAATTGTTAACGGTTATTCCCGCATGAATCATAAATTTGTTTTGTCGATTAAGTACTTTGATGTATGACTCTTCTACTTACTGACAAAATGCAGGTTATCAAATACATTTATTTATATTTATTTGCTTTGCATTAAGTTTAATTCTACACTGATTTCTAATTGCATCAATTTTAATTCAGCAATGCAACATTTTTTAGGGGGACTTTTTCGGAGGAAATTTAAGAAATGGTTGACACACATTTACAGTTAACTCATGTTATAACAAGAATGATACCTTCTATTTTGGTTGAATACAGTTCATCGAACGATGATGAATCTATCATGAGGTCAATGTTTGATAGATCCTACATCAGCCTTCAGTATGTTCACGATGTCTTGGTCGATAATCTAACAAGGCTTATCCAGATAAGTTGTTTATCCTGATAAGTTGCTGAACAACAAGTGATCCAAATAAGTTGTTTGACTGTTTGGTTTGTGTGTTTGGAAAACAGCTAATTTTGTATAAATGATCATTATGTTCCTGCTTTGAATAAGATGTTTAACTGATTGGTTTATGTGTTTTGAAAACAGCTGATTTGCAGATTTTTTAAAGTAAATGAACAATCTGGCAATCAGAAGTTGTAATTTTCTCAACAAAATAGCAATGTCTACGCATTAGATATTTTAGAACCAATAAAACCTCTTTATAACATTATAAAAAGGATATACACTTCACTTAATAGTGAGTATCATGAAAATTTTAAAAAAACATAACATGTTAAAATTACAAGTAAAAAAATGACAATGTTCATTTTACAATGTAGAAGCATGTCACGAGGGACGTTGGCCAGATGTGACACGGCAGAACCCCGAGCAAGTAGCAACATTTTCCGGTTGGAAAACAGTTGAAACAGAAGCGACGTTCTCAAGTTGTGATACCCAATTCAATTTGATATAAGAATATAAAACTGGAAGATTTACACCATTTATTTTGGTATGAGATAATAAACTAATTCTAAATAAATATTTTTGTACAAATTTTAATCTTCTTACTTTTGGTCTATCAATATTCTACTTATCCTTCAATGCTAAATTTTATTTACCAATATTATCAGTTCATTTTCTACACTTGATTAAACTATCATAAATAGACCATTTTGGGTATAAATATTCCAAAAAAAAAATATTCAACTACATGTCTAACTCCACCTTGCACACACGTTTTAAGGGATTATATGTGTAGATATCTACAAACTACAAGCCAGAACTTAGCAACTGCCTATGCCAGCATCCAGTAGACATGAATCGTTGCAACTGAAGCTGATGGGAATAGAGGCATGAAATTTGTTAGGACCTTTAAACTGAAGTTAGTTAAATCAAAAAAAGGAAAGCAGTTGCTAAGTTCTATGGCTAAGAGAAAAAATTTATAAATAGATTACTATGTTAACACACACTTCCGTGCAAGATATACCAGGAAAATAACTACTACATGCTAATTCTATGGCATGCATTAAAATATCTACTTCCCTACAATCATAAGAATATCTTGTGAAGCATTCACGCTAATAAAGATAAATGAAATAAATGCAGCACAACCTATATATTAAACAATCTGTGATAAATTCAAGAAATCACTGGATATATTACAAGACGCAAATAATTTTAATGGAATCTAGGAATGCAATTTAATATCTACATCCATTGGAATGGAACCTGATGCTTGTGAGACCAAGAAAATAAAAATGATGATACAAGTTGTTGCAAATAAAACTCTATTCTTCCCTTTGTCATTTACTTACAGATGGAAAAATAAACAGAATGAAATTGTGTGGTGTGTATATAAATGCCTTTTAAAGATTATATAATCTAGAGGGAAATTAATTATCTAATATTTTTGTACAACTATTGTTCTTCATATGTATTCTATCACTGAAAGAATGAGTTCAACTCAATCCTTATCAATAGGGGATGGTCATCTGGGTTTTTCTGTTGAAGTCAGAATTGTATTGAACAAGCTTGATCTAAAGATGTTGTAATCAGTACTGTATATTGGAACCTTATTATTAATAAATTTCATGTTTTTGGCTTAAGTTTCTGCAATTACTCTTATAATTTTCATTCAGTAGTATGTCTGTTGATTGAATAAATGTATTCTTATTATAATTCTGTCACACTTTGTTCTTTTTTTGGAAGATTTGCAATCATATTAAGTCAATCTTTCTTTCAACTTAAATAATCAGCCCAACATCACATTTATGTGTTAGATGTGTAAATATGTAGGAATCGGATGGTATATATGTAAAGGCAATGGTTTGAGCAAACTAAAAAATCATCGATGCATATTTTTACATACATACCACCTTCTATATGCATGGTAAGGATATATTAGTATTAACTATTATAAAAAAGGAAAACATAACTATTATTTCCTTATAAAAATACTTGAATACAACAACTTCAAACAAATACTTTAATGGGTGCATGGCAATGAGTGAATCCTTCTTTCAGCTATCTTACATGAGAGATAGTGGTTGTCAATTGACAGCATGGTAATGAGCGATTATATTTCTCTTGAGAGAGGGAGAAAGACAGAAATTTGAATAATGACTGCTAGTATAATCAAAAGTATTATTGGTGACATGTTGAGTAGCTAGAAAGACTTCTACAAACAAATTTCTATCCAAACCGTTTGGCTTGGACAAAGTTGGCTCCAACTTCAACATTTCATAAAAGTTTATGCAATTACACTGTTCTTATCTGAATCAAAATCACACAATTCTTATGCATTTACAGTTCGTGATGCAACTATCCAATTTCCTATATGATGCTTCACAGCTATAAATTAAAAGACGTAGCATTCCTTCTTTCTCAAGTGATCCTATATCCGAAATCGATTAACTTTATAAAAAGAATAACCAAAACCACTTAAATGTTGCAACATCACTATGCCAGAGCTTGCCACACAATTCTTATGCATTTGCACAGTTCTTATCCGAGGTATTAACAGCAAGATAAAAAATGGTGATAGAGGAAGTTATAAACTAAGCTTAAGCAATGAATGCTTCGCATTCAGCATATAAAAAAAAACAGCTCATATTACGGCATCAAGAAGCAACACGCATTTGTTGTATGGGATTATTAAATCAAGAAGCTACATGCATTTGTTAATTTCATTTGTTAATTTCTTCATTTGTTAATTTCTTCACTGCTCCATCATCAAAGCAGATCCGTTGATATGTACTGCATTGTTAACGTGATGATGCAGTGATTTCCCAATTGCTTTGCATCATTTGTAAGTCTAAGCATCATTCAAATCCAATTTACATAGAAATAAAATGAAACTAAACAGGTTACAGCTTCAGCAATATTGCAAACAAAGGTCCCAATTGCTTTTCTCCAATAATTTGAAAAGCTGAAGGAAAATGACAGATTTGAGGCTCAGATTAACCGTTGTCCCATCAAATTGCATATACAAGTGCATATTGTCTACCAATGACACATGGTCATTAACAGTTGAGTCAAACGAGGCATGTATGCAAATTTCTCCCCATTGGATTACACGCATCAACACCTTAGGAGTAATAGAAGTAGAAATTGACAAGTTAAACTTATGAAACAAATAGAAGAATTGACCCCAATAGATTTACAGGTAGCATCATACTTGAGGGAACAATATCTTTCTTCTGAACTGCAGAAGAAAATATATGAACTTGACATTTGTGAGGAAGAATTTACAAATTTATTCACAAGTATGCAGGTTTCTGCAGTCAGTGGTGCAGTTCTTGAAGACCAAATGTTCGAGAAGGCCTTTACCTCGGTTTATTTCTCTGGAGAATGGTATTGCTAATGTGGAGAATCAAGCAAATCAATTAGCTAATCTTCATGACGACCAGGTAATATTTTTTGAAATTACCGAGTCTGTTATTTTAAATTACTAGCATGTTTCATTGCCGAGAAGAAACGAATAAAAAAATAGGAAGATGCGTTTACCTGGAAGGTCGCCGAAGAAGCCGAAGAAGCCGAAGAAGCCGAAGAAGCCGAAGAAGCTGTTAGGGCTGGATCGAGGGAGGGCAGGGGTCCGTAAGAAAGGGAGCGCGGCCAGAAAATGGAGAAGAAACGGAAAAAAAAAAAGGGAAGATGCGTTACCTCCGGGAGATCGCCGAAGAAGCCGAAGCAGCTTAGGGCAGAAACGCGAAAGGGCAGCGAAGTAATCCGAAGGGAACGTGGCCCGCGAGTTTCATACCGCGGGCGACCTTATCCCGATAAGCCTGTTTGATTGAGCTTTCCGAAGCAACTGATTTCGAGTCACTTGCGGTTCCAGTTATTTGCACGATGTGTTTAAAATAATATAATATCCAGTTTTACATTTTTTACCTTTTTTTTTTTTTTTGTTAACAAAAAAAATATTTTCAAATATAAACTCTTAATTTCAAAGTTATAAGGAAAAATCACGGGATTAAATATATCACGAACCTGATCATTTGCATACAGGCATTTGGGTCATTTCGGCCACGCACAGTGGAGCTGTTTATAACAGTAATGTTCAATATACTAAAATTCAAAAAACACTACATAACAGTTCAAAGAAAGTAAAGATAGACTTCTGACTCAAGTGTGACTATCCACAAACATATTAAAAAACAAAAAATATAACAAAATTATAACTAAAATTATAATAATATTCATTTTGAAATGTAGTAGGGGTATGTCTGGAGCAACGGTCTCTGGTTGGGATGTCGTTGGACCCTTAGCAACGCTGTCTGGTTGGGTTAATGTCGAGCACCGATCGCTATGGGCAGTGAAATAGGTTGGAATGTCTGCCCACCTGAAGAACTAACACATGTCCGGACTGTTTGCCCATCGTGGGCACGTAGGCACCTGTAGAATCGCCGACCGTAACTATGTAATTGGTGCGATGTGAGCAACACATGCTACCCCGGAGTTCCCTGGAAACTTTGAGCTCATTTTTTCTATAACAAATACAAAAAAGAAAGCATTAGTGATGAGAGAATTTGTATTGAAATAAAAAATGCAAAAGAAAGAATTTGAAAAACACTAGCCAATAGCTTTCTTCGCTTCAAAACCTATAAGAGATAGTTTTGAATTTGAAAAAGAATTGGGGATTAACGCTTCACAAGTTGTTAACCGAAAAAACCATTAAGTTGGTGTTGCATACCTTTGATCTGCAATGAAAAGTTAATCCCACATAATTGGATATGTATGCATGTTTGTATATGTATGCATGTTTGTATATGTATGTATATATATGTATTTATCTATAGATGTATGTATATACATGTTTGTATATACATGTTTGTGGATGCACATATATAGATGTTAGATCATCTGGAGGTGGAATGAAAGATTCTAGCGATAGAAATGAAGATGTTAGATCTATAAATACAATATAATTAACATTTATAATTTTATTAATTATATTTGGAACCCTCGTCATAGTTCCTAATTCACCACCCTCCTCAAACGGTTATTTTATTGCAAGTAGAATTTAGTTTAAATAGAATTTTTCAAATCTTATAAATACGGATTTATCAAATCCTAGGATGATTAAATCCTAATGTAAGTAAATTATAATAATTTATGAGAAATTGTTTGGCAACTTCAAAAAAGTTTAATAGGATTTTGTGAACATCCCAGGATAAATATTAAATAAAAATATATAAATGAATAAAAGCTTCGAAATGCATAAAAAAGGGCATTTAAATTAAATAATAATTAGTGATTAAAAGTAATACTTATTTTAAACAAATTCTTATTAATCATAAATTAACATTAAATAATTCTTAATTAAATATATTAAATTTGTTTAAAATGTTATCAAATAGTTTAAAATTTGAAATTTATTTTTATTTATTAACTAAAAATTAAATAATTGTATATAAATTTTTATAATCATAATTAATTTGACAACATATAAATTATTTATTAATTACAATCATGTAAAAAATAAAACTAAGTTAATTAAAAGTAAATTAAAACAACTCTGTTCCTATTCCCCTCTCTGCCCGAGGGAAATTATTCTATCAGGACTTCTAACATAGAGAATCATTCGGAGTTCACTGATATGCAGACACATGTCTTCAAGAACTCACACTCAAATCTCCAAAAATAAAAAAGAAAATGCACACTATTGGGCCTACCCGACCCGAAATTTTATTCGTATTTGCTCTTTCAACTTACATATCATATGATAAGCTGCATTGAATAGTGAAAATTACAAAACTCTTAATAAAATTACAAATCACAGTTCAACATTATAACTCTTACTCTATACAAAACACAGTTCAATAAACATGCCTTCGATAACAAAACTCTTAATAAAATTACAAAGCACAGTTCAACATTATAACTCTTATTCTATACAAAACACAGTTCAATAAACATGTCTTCAATAAAATTACAAAGCATAGTTCTTCCTTAATATATTCAATCTCTTTCAGGCGAAATATTTAAGATGTTTGGCGAGCCCACATGCAAATTGGATGGGTGAACTAAGCTCTAAATTTTACCATAAGATCTTGGGAGTTTAAGTGATCTTTCCATTCAAGTGTGTCAACGTGTACTAAGGCTTTCATATACATACATGCAAACATGTCGCCGTCGTGGCTATTACTTTGGGTAGGAACATTTTGAGGAGATGATATTGGCCATTTTTTTTATGTTGGATTGGAATGCTTGTTCGGTATCTTTCGCAAAATGTTTGACCTGTAAATGTAGTCAAGGAGTGAGTCATTCTTATTGTTTCGATCAAGTAGTATTGTTTACAATAAAAAATATTGAATTCAATATGTAGATTGTGTCAAATGTAATTACAAGTTGTACAACAACCGTTTTATGCATTGGGTTATGCAGTGAGTCATATATTTTACATTTTCTTCCTTTCAACTCCTATACTAACAAAATTTAATGTTGACGATCAATTATAGGAAATTAAATGAGTTCATTATCTTTAATTATTTCCTTTGTAATGTACTTAATAAATGTTACTGTTTCAGTTTTTATCGTCTTTAACATCTGCAAAAAAAGAAAAAAAAACAACAAACAAAATCTATTCAGTCTACAACGAAAGATAAGCTTTCACAATAATTGAATAAATTAAACATTTGTAATTACCCAATACAGTGGGGACACATATATGTATTTTCTGTATAGTCCAGGTGACAATTTCCTTCTTTCAGCCAACATAATGGCAAACATGTCGACATGTTCATTCCCGAACCACCAGTTCATTAATATATCCTCAAGTGTACCATGCTCCGGTACGACTTTCCCCCTGCTTAGGATGATATCATGCTTGTATTGTTAACAAAAAATATTTATTACAATCTAACATTTTAAAACCAAGGCTGGGGTTTGTCCATATCGGAAAAAAAAAAATCAAAACGAATAAAACTACAAATAACATCTGAATGAATATTTCTTTATTTATAAAACATAATACTTAAAGTTAAATAAAAAGAAAACCCTTGATGTATCTTAGTGACTGATTTCGTCTTAATTTAGCAGCGACGATGCTCACTTGATCGATGATGAATTCACAAATGACAGCGAGCTAGTTATAAAAAGAAAATAACTGCATATTTTCACTAAAGAAAAGAAGTCCCGCGAGCACGCTAAAATTGATCGAGAGAAAAAAAATAAATTCATCAGTAGAAACTTCAAGTATAACTGCTCAAACGGAATGGAAGAACGTCCTTCAGAGAACTTCATCAGTTGGTTCTTTATTTGTCTGACATCCACACCAGATGAGGAGGTTTTCCTCCAAGCAACTCCTCTACTAACAAAATTTAATGTTGACGATCAATTATAGGAAATTAAATGAGTTCATTATCTTTAATTATTTCCTTTGTAATGTACTTAATAAATGTTACTGTTTCAGTTTTTATCGTCTTTAACATCTGCAAAAAAAGAAAAAAAAACAACAAACAAAATATATTCAGTCTACAACGAAAGACAAGCTTTCACAATAATTGAATAAATTAAACATTTGTAATTACCCAATACAGTGGGGACACATATATGTATTTTCTGTATAGTCCAGGTGACAATTTCCTTCTTTCAGCCAACATAATGGCAAACATGTCGACATGTTCATTCCCGAACCACCAGTTCATTAATATATCCTCAAGTGTACCATGCTCCGGTACGACTTTCCCCCTGCTTAGGATGATATCATGCTTGTATTGTTAACAAAAAATATTTATTACAATCTAACATTAGACGAATTAGAAAATTTTGGTTACAATCTAACAAAGAATGTTTGCTTACACCCGAGGGTAGTTGGCAATACATCTATCTATTACATTCTGCATTTCAAGTGGAAGCACTAATCTAGCAGGATAATCAAGTGGAAGTGTTGGGGCTGCAACATGAGGCTACAATAGAATTGACGACCCATAACATATCAATGTATTTTCAATATATGATTAAGTGTAGCTATAAATAATTATTAGTACCACTATAGCGTAGGCATATGGATTGGAGCTCTGGCTCGGCACATCTATCTCCTCTTGATTGGGATTTTTTTTGTCATCAATAATTATTAGTGAATCTTTTTTCATTCCAACAGAGCCATGTTCAGCTTCTCCTATTGTTGGTTCTCCAACTGGACTATGCACATCTTCTTCTACTGTCGACTCTCCAACTGGACTATGTACATCTTCTCCACTGGGGCTATGTACAGCTTCTACTAATGAATGCTCTCCAACAGGACTATTTACAGCTGAAGTGCTAGAGGGATCTAGATGGGACGACGCGCGAAGAGCCTACAAAACAAATATCATTTTTATATAACATAAATATTAATGACATAACAAAAGATACATATGTGAATATAAATAATTGTTTACTATATGGGCTTGCGACTCTAGAACACCCTTCACTGATCGTTCAACCTCTTAAGGATCTTCCTGAAGTGTCGCATCGCCCGTCAATACATTATCTTCAACATCTATTATTCTTTATGGAGACTCTCTTATTGGATCATCTCAATCTGTAGTATGTACAATTATATTGTCTTGATCTGCTCTATAATCTTTATCAACTATACTCTGTGTACCAATGTCCGAGACATCTCCCAAATGATGTAGTTCAGCAAAATTAGTTATTTTCTTTCTTCTCTTTAATTGGTATGTGAACTAAGGTGAACCCACTGTCATCCTCCTTCACTGAGTTAACTTATCACTTTGAGCAGAGGATTTGTGTGTTCCCTTTGTTTGTGCATCAACTTCCTTATCTGCTTTGGTTTTTTTGCAATCTTTCAACCATAGCAGTTAAGTTATGTAATGACTCCCCAACATAAGACATTTGTTGACTCATTGTATTCATGGTTTCCTGTAATATAAGAGTAGACTTCTCTTGACCTTTCAATAGGTCAATTATTATTCTGAACTATTTATTAGTTATTGTATATGTCTCTTCCAGGGTGATCTCGCTGAAAAAAATTGGTCCCACACTATGGGATAATGGTGAAGATGGTCTGACAGTTGTTTCTTGATGTGGGACAACCCTGGCAGGGCTCGGTAGTCCCTCTTCCGGGTTGAACAGTAAGCGTTGCTCATCCTCTTTCAAATCGATGAAAGAATCGTTATCCTGCAGCACCATTAAAAATGCTCATAATGAATTTCGAATAGCAATGAAATGAATGACTAAGTAAAGCATTAAAATTTGTCATGAAGTAAGTGTTTAACCTTTGCACGACCAAGATTTCTGAAGGCCTCATGAATCTCTACTGCTGTCCAACCATGATTTGTTGGTCACCTTAGCATGCGAGGTCTGACCTCAGAAACATGAGGAGCAAACACAGAGGTGTGATCGTAAAACCAGAGCTGCGGTTGTCTCATATCAGAAAAAAAACTATCAAAATGAATAAAACTACAAATAACATCTGAATGAATATTTCTTTATTTATAAAACATAATACTTAAAGTTAAATAAAAAGAAAACCCTTGATGTATCTTAGTGACTGATTTCGTCTTAAGTTAGCAGCGACGATGCTCACTTAATCAATGATGAATTCACAAATGATAGCGAGCTAGTTATAAAAAGAAAATAACTGCACATTTTCACTAAAGAAAAGAAATCCCGCGAGCATGCTAAAATTGATTGAGGGAAAAAATTAAATTCATCAGTAGAAACTTCAAGCATAACTGCTCAAACAGAATGGAAGAACGTCCTTCAGAGAACTTCATCAGTTGGTTCTTTATTTGTCTGACATCCACACCAGATGAGGAGGTTTTCCTCCAAGCAACTGCCTCTCCTCTATTAGACATACTTGATATCAACGCCAAGTGGTCAGGATGCAGCTTTACTTCTTTTCCACCAATTCTGAACACCCTCATTTCATTATCTCAACATCTCAAAATATGTAATGTCAACATATTGTTCTGTGGTATGAATACATATCAAAGAAGTGGAAGACATGCATTTCTTTCAATGAATTCACTGTCTCCTCTAATACGAGATGTCTGACAGTAGCCAAAGCACCCTTTACTACAGATGGATGACACCTACAGTTGAATGTCCTTGCGTTCATAAACCTACAAATGAAAGGAATTAAAATAAGTATCATAAAAGACATTATGAAAGAAAAACAACACATATAAGACCATGAAAACCTTGAGTAACACCCAAAATCAAAGCAATACAATACATATACAATTATATTACACAACAACAAAGACAAATATATCTTATCCACTTAAAACCATCCAATTATACAAGCATAACACTTAAGCAAGAACCATTGTGTCATTCAATATCACAGAAGACAATAACACCCTAAAGCAAAGCCAAACAACAGCTATACAACTTTAAAACACCAAATGAAAGAAAAATAGACATTATTAACTAAATAAAACCAATGATATTCAACTGTGTTATTCAGTTATTAATGAGTTTTCACGCATATAACACCAATAGAGCCTCCAGTAACACCCAAAATCAAAGCAATACAACACATACATGACTTCTAAACACATCAACAAAGCAAAATAGGTGTCATGCACTCAATAACATCCACTTACACAATCATAACACACCCTAAACAACCAATATGTCGTTCAGTGCCATAAAACACATTAGTAACACCTTAAAGCAAGATCATACACCACATATACAACTTTAATACACCAGATGAATCATACATACGTATTATTAACGAAATAACACACAATAACACAACAATAACACCAGTGAGACAATAACACCAGTGAGATGCACATGAAATACATCAGTAACACCCAAAGAATATTATTATAACATATGAATTATTCAGTAAGAACACCACTTGAGTAATACATCAATAAGACAAAAAAAACACAACAGTCACAATGTTATAACACAGAGATATCACAACTATAACACATCAATTACAAATGGATAACACAATAGTAACACAACATAGTAAAAATTGAACGCCAACTCAACAATAACACAAGAGATACACTGCAATGTTAACATTGCGATAACACAACAATAAATTTATTGAGTTAAAAAAAAAGCTATTTCTTGCAATGCAGAAAAGTACCTCGATGACTTTAGAGCACTCCTCTGTTCTTCAGTTTGTATGCGACCCATCATTTTTTGAAAATATCAAACCCTAACAACTTCAAACGAAGAAATGATTTTACAGCTCTGCTGTGAATAATGACTAAACTCTGAAAATTCTAGGTCTGATATCTAAGAGACAAACTTAGAAAAGGGAAGTTCTGCTCTCAAAAATATTTTTGTAATGCTCTTGGGTTAGCCGGCCCGCCGACTTTAATTTTTTCTTAACCGGATTTTCATGTGAGCCACCATGCCAGACGCCGGACCAAATAGGCGCTCCTGCCCTAAACCGTCTTCGACATCCTCTCCCTCACCCCGGTCCCCACTGGTTTCGCTCAAAGCCTTCGTCTTCCATTAGAGCTACCTGAGAAGGAAAAGACGGACCAGCGGCATGTGAGGAAGAAGAGAAGCTCCTGAGACTTGCGGATTTAAGTTATAATGGTGTTTTGCACTGTTTGGAAGGATTTAGCCTAGATCCTGCCTAAACTCTGCTGTGAAACTGCCCCTAGTTTTTTATTTTTTTTTTGATAGAAGGTAATGGCGGGACAATCCGATCCTCATCTTTCAATCTTTTCTGCCCCAGAGGTTTGTAATATCCAATCTCTGTTTTCAGTTTGATCATGCATTTAATGGTTTTGGATTTTACTTTGTTGGTTTCCGTGGGTTTGAAGGCAGCGAAACAAATCTTAATAGGGTGGTCTGATATTTATATTTCCAGGTTGAGTTTTTGGCTGAGGACGAACTTGTTGAGATAATCCCGAATATAAGGATGGATGCTCTGAACATGATCTGTGTAAATTGGCATTTGTTATGCCGAACAATTTTATCTTCTATTGATTTTCGGAATGCTTTCCTTCATTTTTGACTCGTATGAATCTGACAGTGATCACTGGTTTCATAATAGGGTGATTTCGGTCCTTTCTTTCCACAAATTTCTGCCAAGGTTCCAATATGGCTTGCAGTTGCTCTTAAGAAGCGTGGAAAATGCTCTGTTAGGCCGCCGGAATGGATGTCTGTTGGTGTGAACTTCTCCCTTGATCATATTGTTTAGCTATAATGAATTGAAGTATCCAGATCTCTTACCGTAGGATTGTTATTTTCTAGAAAAATTTCTGTTAATGTTTCCATTTTCTTATTGCTGAACAGTTCATGAAAATTCAACATGTGCATGAACACCTAAATTTTAATATTTACATTAATAGGCGCTCAAATCTTCAATATCACATAAAAATACCACTTTTATTAACTTTTTAAAAATCAAATACATCTTTTTATTCATAGGTTTATAACACCAAGGTGCAATGAATGTAAATATCAAACTTTAGGTGCTAGATATGTAAATCCATATGAATTGCATGGACATATGTAAATTTCCCATTTTATATCAGTAGTGAGCATATTTTTTTGATAATGGGATGTTCATGAAAGTTTACTATGAATAATTCAGTTTGGACTACCAAATGTAAATATCAAAATTTTGGCAATTTACATTTGGTAGTCCAAAATTTCCATTTGTTCATGAAAGAATACATCACACCCCCCCTACTGAATTATTCATATTGTTTGTTATTTATGTTTGTGTTGTCATCATGCATTGCTTTTATGTTTTTCCTTTTGAGACATTAAGGGGCTGTTTGGCAACAGCTTTAGTCAATCTTGTAAATACAGATTTACCGGGATTGATGACAAAACTGAGAGGAATTGAGAAGAAATTAGAGTTACTACATCTAGGATTTAAATTTTGTCTTTTTCTGTTTGACGGATTTAAGTTAAATCTCACTTAAATCCACTACCATATAGCCCCCAAGTTGTTATAGTGCTTGATAGCATGCATGGAGTGTGATCGCCCTTAGGGTATTTTTATTGATGATTTTATTTTCTATCATGCCACCTTCTTAAGAACATTTTTATGAGCAGAACGTACCTATCGTTGGGCTATTCTGAGGATGCTAATTGATTACTATTTTCACCAGAGAGGTTGACACATGTGTTGGAAGGAGAAAGAGAGTCCCCACGAGAATTTCAACAGTTGCCTTTTCATTATGTTGAAATATCAAAGATTTTGCTTGAAAAGTATGTATTGTGCCATTTATTTCTAGGAAGGTTTGTATGCATACCGCTCAATTCTTATGTATTTACATGTCTAACACCTGACCTTCAATTCTTACATACATGCCACCTTACCTATTCATGAAAAGCTGCATTTCACTTTTAAAAAAGTTAAAATAGTGGTATTTTTGATGTGATATGGAAGGTTTGAGTGGTACAAATGTTAAAGTAAAGTTTAGCTGTTAGATATGTAAATACATATAAATATGATGTATGTATATAAACGCCCCTTATTTCTATTTATATCTTTATGCCTTTTATTTACTTGAAAGCATTAAGCTTGGTTGGTATTGGTTGTAGAGCTCATGATGACATACCAGATATATATATGGTGAGTTGGGACATGCCATGGTTGATATTTCCTTAAGCAATAGTCTTTGAACCTCCTTTCTTCACGCGAGATGTATTTTTACAGGTTAGATCTTTGATCGAGGACATTAGGGATGTGCGATTTCATAAAGTTGAGATAGGTTTGGAGAAGATCTCTGGTCGAACACATGCGGTGAAGGTAGGCCTGCACGTGCTGGAGTGGATTCAGCTTTGATTAAGTTTAGGAAGATTCACATGCATACCACCCAATTTCTATGTATTTACACATCTAACACTTAAACTTCAATTTTTACATATACACCACCTTAGTTATACATGAAAAGGTATGTATCACTTTTTAAAAGTTAAAATGGTGGTAGTTGTGATGTATTATGAAACATATAGATGGTATTAATGTGAAAAAATAAAAATTTGGGGCTAGATATTTAAATACATTAGAATTGGGTTTTATGTATGTATATGCCCATTAAGTTTATCCTTTTCTCGGGTTGTTTTCACAATTGAATAGTGCAAGATGCATGGGTATGCAGATTCTGTTTTGCCATCATCATGAACTCAGGTAAACTATATTTGTTTTTCGCAAGGTTTTAAGTGCCTGTCTTCAATTTGTCCTTAGATGCATCAACCATAAATTTGCCAAATAAAAAAAAAAAAGGTTACGACTAGTTTAACTAAAAATTTCGAGGACCGAGAAGTTTCATCTTATGTTTAGGCTGGAAAAGTGTCAAACTTATGGCTGAAATTGTGGCTAAAACTAGGAAAACTTGATGTGATAGGAACGAGACAAGTTTTCATACCGATTAGGGCAGAAAGAATAGATTCTATTTCATCAGTAACAAACAAAATTATACAATCCAAAATATATAAAAGATAAACACCTACAATTCTAGAGATAGGTGATCTCTCCCAAAACCTAACTCTCAAGACTCCATACAATGATCACACATAATTTAACCCTAAACATATTAAGTCTTATTTGTACCTCGCAATAATAACTAAAAATTGACTAAACCACCTTCTTAGTCTTGCGCCAGGCACTGGTCTAAGATTGCTTCTATCCCAAAAAGACGTATTGTCCTCAAGGTGGAAGAGAGTAAACTGCCGCTGGATCAAGTCGTATGACTTCCACGTAATATCATAATCTGACATTATTTTCCATTTAATCATAAATTTGTAGTGACACTCATGAGTTTGAAATGCAATATTCTGTACATCATTCGGTCGCATTCGAATTTGATGGTATCTTGACTTTAAGATTGGAGATTACCACAACCCCAAATAACAAGTCCAATAGCTCATTGATCATCGGGATAAGAAATTTGTCAGGTTCTGTTTGCTTATTCAATGTTCGATAATTCACAGAGAAACGCCAACTTCCATTCTCTTTTTTACTAGCTTACATTAGACTGCATGATCCCAACCTCCAACATCTCTTGGATCATTATGTTGATCTCATCCTTCTGTACCTTGGGGTGGCAGTATGGGCACACACTAATATGAGAAACCTCCAATCTCAGGTTATTGTGCGTTCATGTTCCCTCCGAAGTGGCAATCCACGTGGTAACTTCTGCAAATTTTTGTAAGAGTTGTTGGATCAATGTCAGAATCTCTGTCAACTGTGTATCATGTATCTCTTTCATGCTATGTAATTTGATTAAGAATGTCAACCCTGCATCTTATATTGCTCTAACCATGGACTTGAGTGTTACTAAGGTCTTGCACAAAATATAGTCACAACAAAACACCACCATTTTATCTCCCTTCTAAAACTCTATTATCAAAAGTTTTCAATTCATCTCAATCTCTCTTAAGAACTACAACCATTTCATACCCAATATCAATATTTAAGAAAAGAAAATCTTTCATCACTTGAATACCTTGAAATGTTAAAATCACCTTTAAAAACATCTTTGCTCATCTCCATCTATCCCGTCCCCATCACCAAAACTTTATGTGTCAACCATCTCAAGCCTAGTTGCTTGATTACTTTAGTAGAGATGAAGTTGTGAGTGGCTCCACTATATACCAACATCACTATGTCTTGCTCTTCGATCTGTTCTCAAAGTTTGATCGTGTCGTTTGGAGTTAACCCCACTACCGAGTTCAATGAAACTTTTGTCACATCCAAGTGACGTTGTTCCTTCTCCTTCAACATAACCCCTCTATTACTTCATCCCCTGCCTCTTCCTTGTTACACTGTGAGAATCTGTAAGGTCAGATCCTTGCAACAGTGTTCTAGGTCAAACTTCTTGTCATATCAAGAATATAACTATTAACTTGCATCTTCTAATTTTTGGTCTCTATAAGGTGTTTGAATGTTGCCTCCGATCGTGACCCATTATTCCTATCTAGTGGAGCCTCCCTCTGGAATCTCACTGTTGTGTTTTTGGCATCACCGTGGTTATAACATTTTGGTAGGGCTCTTCACTTGTGCTGCTCCTATCACATGTTCCATTGCATTGTTATCATCAATCCCCTCTGGAATCTCACTGTTGTGTTTTTGGCATCACTGTGGTTATAACATTTTGGTAGGGCTCTCCACTTGTGCTGCTCCTATTCACATGTTCCATTGCATTGTTATTATCAATTAGTTTCACTAATTTCATAGTGTACCCCAATTCTTGTGATCTCAACAGACGAATTGCTGCTTGAATATCTGACTTCAACCCCTTCATGAAGTTTCCTTTCAACAATACTTTTGATATCCCTCTGAATCTGCCTGATAACATCTCAAATTTTCCCTTATAATTCATGACTGACCATTTTTGAACTAATGCAAAAAATTGCTCATGTAAATCTTTTTCTCGCGTGGTTATGAAACACTCCAATTGTTATTTGAATTCTTCCAATATTTTGATTGACCGACGTTGTTATCTCCATTAACTACACTAAAGCCTTCCCTTCGAAATACAGGGCCCCGCCATCAACTTTCTTCCTCTGTCAGCCCATTAACATCATAGTAATCTTTCACGTGATAAACCCAACCATATGCATGCTCTCCTTTAAAGATCGACATCTTCAACTTCCTTATGCGTGAGTCTCCTTCACAATTTATTCGACCAAAGTTCGTTTCACTCATGAAGCAGGGGTTGTGTTCCCTAGGTCGATCTATATTGATTTTCCTACTTTCATAAGTTTGACTCACTTTATAGTCAGCTTGCCTCGTACTCATAGGCTCTTGAATTGTCTTTTGCCCGGAAGGTTGCCTGAAGCAGTTGGATGTTGGTCTCTGCCAGGGTCTCACCCACCACGATTCCCTGTTCCAGGTCAAAATCCTTCACATTGATTCTCTTCAACCCCGAATCACATGTCGTCCCGTTCCATCCGTTTTAGCTCGTTCCAAACACTCACTTGTAGCACATTCTTTCTAGATGCTGCCACGCGAATCCATTCTCGGCCCCTTCGCTATATTTCATCGAGTTCTGTTCGTTCCAACCATCCTTATGTCACATTATTCCTTCATAGCGCTGTTGCTTGAGTTCGCCCCAGATTCCTTTACTTTATTCACGACTCTAGCTCTGCCTATGACAGGGGCACTGCCTTGATGCCATGCAAATCATTCTGATTGCTGTCGCTTGGGTTCGTTCTAGATGTTGTAGCTCGATCCCGTGGCGGCCGACCAGTGTGTTTGTATGAAACTCCACAATCTTATTCATCATTTCTTCCAGGGCCATGAATCTCCTCTCCATGGACAAGAATTGCTCCTCCATGACCAAGAAACACTCATACATTCCATATTCATATCCCTCTAATTTCTTCTATTAGATATCTACTTTCTTGGCTGTCATTCCTCCCAGGATGCTTTTCGATCACGAAGGTGAAAGTCTTGTACGCTATCCCATCATTGGCTTCCCAACTATCGAATAACGACTGTATCGCCAGGTTCGAAGGTGGAACCCTGTACACTGTGATCTCGTCATTGGCTTCCCAGTAGCTTGAACCGTGACTGTATCATAAAGGTCGATCATGAAGGAGAGCCTTAATCATGCTGTTGGCTATCCAACTAGCTCGAATCACAGCTATATCGCGAAGATTGATCAGGATGGAGTACCTCAATCTTTTTGTTGGCTTCTCAACTAGCTTGAATCACGACTGTATCGCAGATTCAATTAAGAAGGCACACTGTGATCTTGTCGTTGGCTTACTAGCTGGCTCGAATCATGATTGTGTTGTGAGGTACAATCACAAAGGTGACGCCGCGATCCCTTCTTCGGCTAGCTAGAATCATGACTGTATCGCGATGTTCGGTCACAAAGGCAATAAATTTTCATATATCGAATGCTTTGATACCAATTTGATAGGAATGAGACAAGTTTCATAATAATTAGGGCAAAAAGAATAGATTTTATTCCACAGGTAATAAACAAAACAATATAATCTAAAATACATAAAAGATAACTACCTACAATTCGAGAAGTAAGTTCTCTCCCAAACCCTAACTTCTAAGACTCTAGGCAACAATAAAATTATACCCCATAATAATAACTAAAAAAAAATTAAATTGCTCTTTTAGTCTTGCACCTAACATAAGTCTTCAATTATTTGGCCGGGCTCGGCGCCGACTCAATGGAGCACGAGGCAGACTTAGGTGTTGGCTTAACAAAATGCATTCATAGTTTTTAAATAAATGCTTAACTTTTTAAAACTAAATTTTTTTTTAAATCAAAATTGTCACAATTCGATCAAAACTAAAAAGTTGAATTGAGTTTTAAAACCTAGATTGATTGTTTGAGGTGATATTTATCTTCCTGGTTTAAAAAGTGGGACTATTACTATGTAGCACCTCCAGCTAGGCAAATTACAAGTTACACCCAAGAAAAACAAGGGAAAAAAGAACTAGTAAACTAATTTTATTTGCAATTTTTACAAACAAATCAAGGAGAATTTCATCAAATTAAAGAATCTAGGCTTTAGTTTTTTCGTACTATTTGAGATTTGGGCGGTTTATTAGAAATGGAATTAACTGTTTTACTATAATACCAACATTTTGGATTTTCAGCAAATTGCCCCAAAAATATATTGCTTCACTAGCTATTTGTGCGTTCATGTACATTGGAAGAAGATGTTTGAGATATTTTGAATAACCACTTGAGAATCATTTCCTAGTTTGAAGAATCTTGTTTATGTCTGCTATATGGTTTGGATAATACATCAATAATTCGTTATATGATAATTCTACGTTCTCCATATCCATTAAGATTGCTAGAATATGATTCTTAAGGAAGATCTACATACATACCACTCAATTTCTATGTATTTACATATCTAACACCTGAACTTCAATTTTTTACATACACACCACCTTACCTATGCATGAAAAGGTGTTTTTCACTTTTTAAAAGTTTTAAATTTATGGTATTTTTAATGTGATAAGATTTGGTCATTATAAATTTAAAATTTAGTGTTATATATGTAAATACATAAGCCTTGGGGTTATGTTTGTAAATGCCCCTTCTCTTGCAATTTCTTAGATGAAATCATCGAGTTTTTTGCTTAATCAGTAAGGGCATCTGGTCGAACATGACTTTTACTTTGCCTAAATCGAGCCATGAGGATTTAGTTTACAACTGGTTGAGAAGTGAAAGACATTTCTGATTCCCAAATTTTATTTGAACTTGCAATTTTATGCTTTTAAGTTCTTCTCTGCATCGTCAAGCAAACTGTTCTACATCTTAGAATTTTTTTTTCTCCTCCACAACATTTCAAATTTATTTTACATTTGAAGACTAATTGCATCAGCATTTTAGACTTTGCTTTTCATGATTTGTTTTTGCAGCTTAAAAATCTCTCTGCTATGGAAGTGAACATCGTTCGTCCATTTATGGTGAGGGCGCTGCAAGCTTTCTATAAGCACGATAGCCCAGAAATGATTCAACAACCAGAATCAACATTGAACAGGACTCGAGTTGAAGACCGCGGTCCAAGGGTCAGTTTCTTGAGAGGCCCCTTAATTTGTTTGTTATATATTTAATACCATCCACATATTCCATTGCATATTTTTTGTTGAGCATGTAAAGGGACATTTTTAATATTTTCTGGATGCTTCACTCTATTTTATAATTGGAAGATTTACATACATACCAAACAATTCCTATTTATTTGCATATCTAACACCTAAATTTTAATTTTTACATTACGACTTTACCCTTGTTTTAAGAGGTGTATGTCACCCTTTAAAAGTTAATAATAGTAGTACTTTTTGATATGAGACCGAAGAATTTGAGTGTTATAAATATAAAATTTAAAGTTTAGGTTTTAGATACATGAATACATGAGAATTGTGGGGTATGTATGTAAATGCCCGTCAACCGTTTTGAAAACATAATTAAAGCTTCTATGTATGCTTGTTTGTTGATGATAGATTTATATGTAAATGCCCGTCAACTGTTTAATTTTTACATTACGACTTTACCCTTGTTTTAAGGGGTGTATGTCACCCTTTAAAAGTAAGCTTCTATGTATGCTTGTTTGTTGATGATAGATTATCCTTAAAGGGCTCATGACTGTAATACTTTCTGCAGGAATGTTGTTATAGGTTTTTGCTTGCATGTTAGTTCATTATTTGTTTATTGTGGAATTAAAGTAGAATGACTCGCACGCACGATAAAATTACAATTTTTTGCACTATGGTACATAACATTTTACTTATTTTTCATCATTATTGATGCTATCTCAACTATTTGGGGTTGGCTTTTTGATTCTTCATTGAGCACATCTAGATGTATTTGGCTTATTAGTATAATATGATTTTGAATTACTTCTATTTATGTTATGTTAGATATGTCTTTTTTTCTTCATAATTCTATTGCCTTGAAAGCTTGGTGCTAGCCTAGGTGCTCATCTGCATGATGCAACGTGCTGTGACATTTCACATATTTTTATCATGAGAAATATTTTTGGAGATTATAATATGATATTTGTCACAATAAAAATTAAAATTTAGTAGAGAATATATTTTCAAGTTTTGTACCATTTTAAATAGATTATCTTCAAAAATTCATACAAGATTCAAATATTATGCTTTAAGTTTATACAAGTCGGTAATAACTCAGGTTAGTTTCCATAATGTATTGTTAGTTTTATTCTTCACTATAATTTATTTTATCTTCTTTGTCATCCATGCTCTTTTTTCTATTTTAGATTTATAACCATACATCTTATACCAATGGATCATAATCAAACTGCAGAAAATTTAGATATAGTTTTTTTATTATAATGAGGTTATTTTTAAGGCGTTTGCCTACACAATGCGTTAGTGATGTATCTCATCTATGGGGTGCATTACACCCACTTTGTTGCACATACTCGAACAGGTTGTTTGTTTTCAGCTACCTTATATTCAATAGATATCAATCCAATTCGCTCTAAAATAACCATGTCTTAATTTTTCTTCTAACCTTTTCGCATATCTGTTCTCATTTATTGATGCTCAACCTAGCTCATAATAATTTGTTTATTGCCCATTACCTGGATGCATACATCATACCTGACCTAAATGTTGTGGTCTTATATAATTTTTTTTAGGGGCATTTACGTGCATAACACAAAATTCCTTTTTTTTTACATAGCTCACACTTATCTGCTCATATTCAAAATTCCTTTTTTTTTACATAGCTCACACTTATCTGTTCATATTCACACACATAGCACTTAAATCTTTAATATCACATAAAAAATAGCATTATTTCTGTTATCTGTTCATATTCACACACATAACACTTAAATCTTTAATATCACATAAAAAATAGCACTATTTCTCGTTTCTAAAAGTCAAATACACTTTTTCATGCATAGGTTTAAGGCACCAAAGTGCTATTTGCGCAAATATTAAAGTTTAGGTGTGAGATACCTAAATACATACAAACTGTGTGCTACATATGTAAATTTCTTTTATTTTTAAAGTCTTCTTGATATCTATATCCCATTCATTTTATGATAGATTCAATATATCTGACATGCTAGTGAGTGCTACTTATTTTGGATGTGTTTGATTCACATTATCGCGCAGAATCTTTATTCATTGTATCAATTTTGTATGGTTGATAAATACATCTACATAAAAATGGCAGTAATAGAGATGAATTCTAAAATTGCGTCCTTGTCATATTGTTATGCCAGTTGATTCAATTGTTCCTTTTACAAGTTGACAATTTGATATTCTACACGTAGATTTTTTTCTGATATTGCTTGATTTATCAAATTGCAAAAATAAGGTGTTTGGCCATGTTTTTGATAAGAGAAATTACTTATCTTGAGATAACGGAAATTACTTGATGTTTTACATGTTTTGAATATTAGTTTCATGTTTATTTAAAACTGTTAAGTCCTTCATAAAAAGTCATTAATTTCTCAATTAATCTGCTAACTGGATTAGTCAATTTATTCGGTTTCTTAATTATTATTTTTCTTAATGTTTTCAGAGAGATTTGAGACCCCGCTAGCTGCCTTGACAAACTCTGAATTTATCATCAAATGTCTTTCATGCCTATGGCGTTTACCTGATGTTAGATAGCTGTCCATGAGGTAATTACTCTTCTTAATGCTAATCTGTTAGAATACAAAATTTGTTTTTAGGCAAATTGCTTTTGATGCAATCACTTTTTTCTCATTAAATGGTGTTTTACCATCCCTTCTTCAATAATGGCAAGAACATAAACCAGATAAATTTTATGTTATTTTACTATACCAACCCATCCTAGTAAAAAAATTAATAAAATATTTCTATTTTAGTTTGTGTTTGAAAATTGATGAGAGTAAACTTGAGATGATATTTGGCTTTGTTTCATGTTGTTGAATGGGCTTAAATTTGAATCAAACTATTAGATGTGGGCAAGTTCAGATAGTACCCGAATGATAATTTTTTCATGTCAAAGTTAATTTTTAGGATTTGAAACCAACATTGTAATTAATTGTTTCAATGTTGAGCTATCTTTTTCAAATTTGAATGAAAGCAGAAGGATGAGTTGAAAGTCCTGATTCTAAGGTTTCCAAAAATTTATAGATCCATAATCACACTGTTTATCAAATTGGGAGTAACAATACCAACACAATTGCGAACAATGAGAAGGATGCAATGACTGGACAAAACTTACGGTGGGGTACACGTCTGTGTAATAGGGTGTCATACTCATTATGAAGATTATCGTTTAAAAAAAACGGGCATTGCACTCTAAATACCAAATAATCTATCCCAAGATGAGAACAAAAAAGTAACGCCCAAACCAAGCCTCTATGCAAATCACCCAAGTCTTTACCTGCAACCCGACACCAGCCACACTGCATGGGCCACCCTGATTGCCCAGATCACGTGATTCTATTTTCCTTTTCTTCTTGCAATCGCCCCCATTGCCTTCACCCTTCTTGATTGAGCGAACAGCGTGATCTCTTGTGAATAGAACCAGACCTCACATCTTCTCTACTTTGCTACCAAATCCAGCAAACACAACGCCTCCTTCTGCAATCCTCCCTTGAACACTGGCACAAACTCTTCCCATGCTCTGCGCCGACCTCTTCTCGTGCTTGGGACCGACCTATCGCACCGCCTTTACCGTGCTTGGCGCCGACCTCTTCTCGTACATATCGGCCCTTTCCTTGCAGTTGTTGAACATCCTTTACTCGCCTCCTTTCTCCTTCAACCCACAACAATGGCACCTCCAATCAAAGTTCCCATCCTTTCAAAATCTAAGCCGTCGTTTGCTTTGTCTTTTGTGTTCGATCAACGGTTGCCGATTACCCTCCTAATTTTCTTCATCATCATCAAGGTTGATTGGAGCAATAAGAGCTCCTCTCCCATCCAATCTCCCCAAATTAATTATTGTGATTTAATTTTGACTTGTCCTTCCCCTTGATTTTGGTTCGAGGAATTAATTAAAATATTAAGTAACAATTAATTTTAATTAAATTTTTATCTCTATATTAATTTGTAAATAATAAACTATAATAATAATAATAATAATAATCTTTATATTCACTGATCGATTGGCGGCGGCTTGCGGGAGTCGATGGCGGTGGCGTGGAATACTTTACACAAAATATGGTATTTGGAATTCACCCAAATTCAATGAATTCCGAATGCATTAAAAATGAACTAGAGAATGAATTACATATGCATTATAATTTTACTTTTACATTTGGAATTCATCCAATTAAACACTCATATTTATGAAACTTCTACAAAAGAAATGAAATGCACTGTTTTTGTAACAAGCCAAACATCCCGTACTGTATTTTGTTTATGACTCTAAAGAGAAGAAGTGTCGTCATCGTTCATATGACCAAAGGCCCATGAGTCACTATAGAGACTATACCACTCCCCATAAGTCCTCACTCCCCTAGTCGCCATCACGTTGATCTTGCTCTAGCTATTGGAATACCAATTAGCAATATGACGAGTCTCCTGAAAAATAGTGACATAGAGCATCACCTAGGCATTACAAGAACACCACAATGTAGATTACACAAACAATCCAAGCGATCAAATAACTAGTTCAACCCGTGCAACAAGAAACGGTAAGTAAACTATAAGTGCACCAGCTGCAACCTGTGGGACTGGACTCATGTCATGACTATAATTTAGGAGTGATAGATCGAGCGAGGAATCAATTCTTAAAGACATTCCCTTCTACTTTCAATGACATAGTAGGCCAAATCGAGTCATATGCATGACTCTATGACATTGAGAAAAGATTTAGAGGCATAAGGTACCCCAAAGGGCGTAAGGTGGACATGGTTAAATTTTAGCTGTGTGAATGTGCTATCGCCACGACAATATCTATGGATCAGATGTAATAATCTTCTGGGCAAATTTTGAGAGATTATTAGTATTTCTCTATAATTGATTGTGTCAAGCTGGTGAACGGTTTGAGGAAGCTACAATAAGGAACAATAATTACTCTCAAGTTCGAGACCCATATCTTCAGGATTGTTAGATTCATTTTCTCAGTTAGTTAGCATGAGGATCAAAGAATTTATTATTTATTTTCAGTTTGCAAGAAATTTGGAGGAACTTGTTTGTTGTCAAATGTATCACTTACAGGGAACTGATGGACTAAGCTATTCGTGCGAAGATAAAGATCAATGCCTGTAAGTGAAAAATGTACTAAAAAACGGAATAATGTATAATGACAAATTCGAGTTTCCAGAAGAAACAACATCAAAATCGGCAGGCACATAAATTAAAGGGCAATCCTCGCATTCATTGATGGTAATGATATTTCAAAATTTTCAACCTGATTATCAGGAAATGCTTTAATTGTTATAGTGCTGATCATAAGGTCAATTATTGTCTGCTCAAACTCAAGATCGGTCACATTTGATTGCTGCTCATGAGAATTATTTCAAGTATCAATATAAAAATAGGTGGCAAAAACCTAATACAGACCGATATAAGAAGTATTATGGGAAATGACAAGCAAAATAGTATTATTAGCAACAAACGAAACAATATCTTGCATCTCAATCGTATTAGTAAGGCTTATCTACATTTCAGTTCCAATAGTAACAATAACTTCCAATGACATATACATAACAACAAATGACCTAGGAGCAACCACAACGACCTCAAGCTTAGGAGCAACTCTGGCAAGCAATCTCACCCTGAGGTTTTGCCATGCACAACAAGAAGCCTGGGAAGCTGCTGATGTGGTGACATGTATCATCTATATTTTGAAGTAATTGATAATGATACTAATTGACTCTAGGGCATCACATTCATTCATTTCAAACATATTTGCATCTAGTGGCTCAACTTCTTCATTACAGTCACATTTGTCAATTACTATGCCATTTGACTCATCCATGACTGTTACTTAGGGCCCGTTTGGGGCAGTTGATAAGTGTGGTGGCTTTTTTGAAAACTTCACTTAACTGTTTGGTTTGCACGTTTTTAAAAAAGCTGCTTGCCTCATTTTGGTTTTTTACACTAAACGCAGACTGTGGGTCGACCTGTGGGCTGCGTTGCAGGATAAACTGCTTATACTGAAACAAACAAGCTGCCCCAAACTGTTTGGTTTGCACGTTTTTAAAAAAGCTGCTTGCCGCATTTTGATTTTTTCCACTAAACGCAGACTGTGGGTCGACCTGCGGGCTGCGTTGCAGGATAAGCTGCTTATCCTGAAACAAACAAGCTGCCCCAAAAAGATCCTTAATGTGTTCACGATTGTGATGTTATCCTCAACAACATGCATATGCTTGCTACATTTATAGTATTTTTATTAGCTATTGTGTATAAACTGGCCAATTATATATTGTCGTAAGAGGCAGGCAATGTTTAAAAGACATTAGTGGTGTTTGCTCTCTTGTCTAACATCAGTGGATAAAGCTCATAAGAGGATCTCCCGTGTGTTATTGATTATCTCACTCATACGGTGGATTTCAACAAATATAGTTCAAGTCATTCGTGATTTGAGAAGAGTTGAGTTATTAAGAGGTACTAGAGCATATTTTGGAGTGTAAAGTTCAGTAGCCTTGCTGTTGATTTATTCCTTTTTGTTAGAGTCCTTTGGAGGAACCAATTTGAGCGAGAAACAACTTGATAGGTAAAATAAAAGATGATCACAAAGTACTTGCAATTGTTCTAGAACTAATATATGAATTTGAGGACCAAATTCTTTTATTGGAGGTAGTATGTAAAGCTCGAAACAAGCCTCCACAAGAATTGAATCCACATCCTTACATGCGATTAACTCCAACCACACTGCTTTTGCCGTCCTGATCCTGCAGATCGCACAATTCTCTTTTCCTTTCTTTGTGCAATTCTCCGAGCCGACTTCGCCCTTTCTGATCCTGGTTTTGCACGATCTCCTATGATAGAACAATATGCTTACCTTCTCCACTCGTTACCAAATCCAGTTGACACTACTCCTTCCCCTTCCGCAATGTCCGCTTGTACTTTGGCATGAACTCTTCCTCTGTTCGACATCGACACCACCTTCATCCTAGATATATTGAGGGCCGTGTGCTAGGCCATAGCAACCCTTCCTTCGCAGTCCAAACCATTGTTCCAAAATACTAATGTCATTATTATGATGGTCTGAATGCAATCCGTAGTAAGATGGTCCTGTAATAAAGGTTTACATACGTACCACTAAATTCTTATGTATTTACATACCTAACACCTAAACTTCCATTTTTCCATATATGCCACCTTATCTTTTCATGAAAATGTGTATATCACTATTTTAATTTAAAATAGTGATATTACATGGCACCT